TTCTTGAAATATCACAAATTAAAAAGTTACAGATATTTTTAGAATTTCCATGACTATATTTGTTATTGTATACTAGCATCTTGAAGAACGGTAATACTTTTGTGTATGAATTAGGCTATATTCTTAATAATCGTTGTGTATGAAATTACTTATTTCACTGAGATCATCTTAAATGTGTTTATTTTCAAATTCTAGCATATCGCAATTCCATTGCATAAAAGCAGTCACAAGGTAACCCGCCATTGTTCTAAAGTAGGTCAGTAGCTGCAGGAGCAAAATAGCTGTAAATCAATGAAGATTTTTGCATTATTATCGTCGTCATTAAGATTACAAATTTGAATAGATATTATATATGAGAATGTGAGTAAAAATGTAAATCAAATGATTTTAATCGAGAAACGTAAAATGATTCTTGTCAAATGTTGCGTTGTATAATTATTATGGGCCGGTGGCTGCCTTATTATCAAATAAATATGTTGTCATTATTTATACAGTTTGTTTCTTCCGTTTGAAAATGTTTTCATATTTTCTTAATCTGTTTGTTCCCTCTTCTCTTTTCTTGTACTAAGTTCTTTAACCCTAGTAATGTCAAGATTACAAAGAAAGCAGATATATATATATCTAACAAAATATACACTTTGCGTTATAAAGCAATTTTATTAATAGCATTTATTTCCAACAAAATACAATATCTGCCCAGTTTGAACATTAGATTTTAGAAACGGTGCGGGCTTTTTTGCTGATTACTGTATTTATATTGACCTAAATATATCATAAAGTGCTCGTTTCAAGATATATAATAGCATATTAATAGTATATTAAGGATTATTTATTTGTTACGTATTAAAACCATGGGAGTAAATAATAACAGCAGCAGCCATTCCCATTAGTTGATTATATACTATTTAACTTATTTTTTGTTGTAACTGGCACAGATTTTAAATTGCGCTTTTTAGAAAGAAAAGTATACTAAAGGTTAGAATAAATAGATAATACTTTTAGAAAGAAATTAGTCTAAATAATACGTATAAATACTTCAATTTCTGATTTCATTTTAAACAGAAAACAAGAATATATACAGTCAATACTGTTTATCTTAGTACTGTGGAATTACAAGATGAATTGCAAGAAGAAGTGTTCCCTTAATCGGTGAAGTGTTGATAGAGATATAAATTTATTAATTAAAGTGGCATTATACTCATTTTTTCGCTAATTAGCAATATATTTCAAGATATTCCCTATTATAATAGTGATTGATAAAGTAATTATTATGGCAAACGTTTAACATAAAATATAAAAACTACCTTACTTTTAAAAGACCGCCCACTCTTTTTATACATTGAACGTTACCTAAGCTTATAAATTGAACGTTACCGAAGCATTTTGAACGTTATTTATAGACATTCTTGTGTGTCATGTGAATTCTTTATTATTTTTGTAAAAAAATAGTAAAATATAAAATTAAACACAACTATAGCAAAATGTAAAGTAATTTTCACTATTACCTGCGCATTCAGCATTAACACTTTGATGGACATGTCAATTGTATTGTTTGGTTTGGTTTTACGGCCGGCGCACCAACACAATTTGGGTCGTATGGCGCCGAAAATGAAAAGAAGATTTGGGCTAACCCCGGGTGTTACAAACTTAAAGCAACACCAGGGGTCCAAACCACTTCACCTGCAGGAGCTAAGAGATGCATAGACTCCAGTAATTTTAACCTATATAGTCGCCTCTCCAGATCACGTAGGATAAACGGTGGTTGTATTTCTGATGCCTCAACCCTTAAAGGCAAAATCAATTTGTTACTAAGGTTAATTAGTTGTTATTTAATTTGGAAAAATGAAATAAGTTTAATTCAATCGTCTTAAGTTTTTATCATGGGGACAAGAAACGTATATCAATTTAATGAGTGACAAAGTTGTCAGACTTTTTGCCGAAGTTTATGAATACGGTATCCTAATTTGAGAACTTTCGTAAGGAGAAATTATATCATGCCTTCGGGAAAATTGCAGTTTTCCTGAAATAAATTTTCTCGTAATCAAGAAAAAGATAAAATAAATTTCACACATTTAAAGTAGTTTAGCAAACTTAATAAGTTACAAACATTGTTTCAATTGCTATCGAAATTTCATAACTGATTTTTTTAGTTTTGAAAACGAACACCCCCAACTCTCTTCGGAATAATATAACAAAGGAACGCATGAAGACTTGATGTCTAGAACGCCAGAAAAAGCATTATATCTTGTCATTTGCAAACAAAATTGTAATGTGAACAAGTCAGAGATGAACTACGAGTGATATTGTGTATTGCAATAAATAAGATATTAGTTCATAGTAGGTAAATCAATCTCTTATCACGTAGAACTTGAATCAGCGCGTACAGAAAGGAAAACTTCCTATAGCTTCGTGACAAAAGCATCGCCTTTGCCGGCAGTAAACAAGAACAAATAGACGTTTGCTAGTTTTCTCATCAAATATTTAACTTGGAGTTCACGTAATAAGATTTTGTTAAATAATACTTTTCTAGAAGATAATGTTTCGGTAAATTACTATTTAGATGGCAAAAGAAACATTTTATACAACATGTCAAAGTAAAAAATTAAAATTTGCACCGTTTCGATTAGTTATGTTACTCCCGACAAATGTTGCTTTATAAAAAGTAAATAATCACAAATTGATACAAGCTTTTAAGATAAAGTGTGGTAAAAATTGTTTTTGCATATAAAAATTAAAGGTAATGATTTAATATATCACGACCATTCTAATATTTTTACCAACCTCTTATATTATTTTTTCGGTATTCCTTGCAAATAGATTTGATTTTATCGTATATTAGAAATAGTAACTACTTGTCATTTGTTTGGCTTCTAAAATATATGGAATTATGCAGTAACTGTTTTGTATCATCATCTTTATAGGTGTCAAAAATCGGAAGAATAGTATGTTTTAAGTTCCGATTTAATAAAACTTATTTCAAAATGTATACTAGTATAATACTAGGGTACTTTGAAAATGGTGACGATGTTCCAGATTAAGATAACAATTTGAAAAACTGTATGGTTTAAAGGCATTTTTGCCGGCAAAACGTAATAAGGAGTGTTGTTACCGGTATGATACATTTTCATTAGATACTGGAAATTTAATAATAACTTAAAACATTTACATGACTGTTGACACAACAGCCTGGCATAGAAAGATAAGCTCAAACCGTAATGATGTATTGCAATAATTTTGGGGGGATAAAAGCAGTGCCGGAAAACTCTATGTCCAACAATAAAGCCTGCTTTGGAAGAAAATAAAATACTTGTTAAATTATGAAGGAAAAACAATTTGGTTCTTGTCCTTTTATAAAGTGATGTAATTTATTATCTGACCATAGAAACTATTTTAAATATAACTTAATACTTGAAATACATAATTTAAAAAAAATATATCACGGTAAAATTGAATGTTTCATCTTCGTTGATAAACAATGAAACGCAAAAAAAGTTATTTGAACGTCACGCAATCAAATGGTAAACGATGGGTTGAATAATGACTTAGCCATAAATATCGTGACATTCATTTAACTTGTTGACATTAGATAAATTAGCAATCATTTTTTGTCGACTATTTTCGTTTCGAAAAAATCTATTTATATTTGTTAAAGCCCGATCATAGCTTCGGATAAAATTACCTTATTATTGATTTTGATGTATTTTTTTTTCTATTAAATTGTATTGATTTGATATTATCCTATTGTTTTGTAGTCAGAAAATGTTTGTTTTACAGTTGAAGACTGATTTTTTCATTGATTCTGTGTTTAACGTTGGTAAAGGGGGTGAAAATAATGAAATATAGCCACCAAAATGCTGTGTCCCGCCAGTGTGCAAGCTATGTTCCACTAGCATTACTCTATAGCAAGTATTGTCTCAATAGTGGGTGTCATTATGTTTATAGGCTAAAAACACATTACAGGATAAACACAAGTGTAACGTCAACCTCAAAGAATAAAGTATATATCACCTGAACAATTAACTTAGACTTTTCTACAAAGACCATATTGTACATTTGTCACAAAGTGGCCGTAAAAAATGAATTTGACGGTATATGAAATAATGCAACTATAAGTACTTAGTACTTTCTACAAAGACTTGATTTAACTTTGGTCTCAAATTGGCCGTAAGGCACGTTTTTGACTGTATATTAAATAATGCAACGATAAGTACTTAGTATTTTTCGAAAATTCTAGATTTTACACTGGTCACAAACTGGCCGTTCCGCACGTGTTTTACTGTATATGAACTAATTCTAGAACAGTGACAAAGTACAAATGAACTCGCGTGTAATCAGTTCGATACTTATCATAAAAGATGGCGAGTTTGCCCAGGGTTCAGACAGCTCTTGATATTTCCAATTATAGAAACTAAATAGATATGTAATAAATGAAACAGTTTCCGGAGAAATCACTGTAATTTATTCGTTATTGGCACGCATATCTTTAACAAGTATAGTCTGATTGTTTTTCTTTTAATGTGTACTTTTGGTAAGATTAAAGACAGAATTGTAAGTTTAATGTTCAATATAGTTATACTTGTATAGTTTATACAGAATTTATTTTAGTTCGATTGTGTTGGAAGCTATAAGCTTATCAACACACTTTTGAATCAGTTCCTGGAACTGAGCAATAAGAGTAAAGTTTCTTGCTTAAGGAAACAACGACTTGCCCCTGACGGGGTTTAAAGACATGCGGCTAGCGATCTTGAGATTACTAGTCCAACGCGTTAACCGCTACTAGTTAGACTTGAATAGTAAAAGTTTGAAATATTATTAATAAATCTGACAAACTGTTCCTAAAACACAAATCTTACTACAAATTGATAACTTATTAATACTTTCATCAATAGTTTGATGAGAAACTTAATAATTATATTAATTATTAATTATATAATTATATTTTCTATATCAATCAAATTAACATTTTAATCTAGTTATATTATTTTTTTTTCTATTTTCAGCCAATGCGAGATTACGGTATAAAGCCCGCACTATGATCGGTGCGGCGGGGAGTCGCCACCAGCGGCGCAGGGCGTCGCTGGCTGTGTCGGCGCTCAGTGGCAGCAGCATGTATAGTCCCATGGAGCAATTACGAGAGCTCGATGAAAATGGGCCCCGGCCGCCCCCAAGTCGGCGCCGTGCTTGTGACACTTCTGATTTTAAATCTTGTGCAATTCTTCAAACAAGACTTAAGGAAGTTAAACGCTACCCCGAGTAAGTACTTTCTTTACTTCTGTCAAATTTCATAAATAATCTGAAAATGGGATACAGAATGTGTTATTTACACTTGAACCATTCCTGTAGAACTGTCTATTTTGTGAATTTCATAAACTTTGACCAAACTAAAGCTCAACAATATCATTATTTTAACCGCAATTGTCTACATTTAGATACTTAACCAGCATGTACTCTTTTTCTGTCCATCGTATTAAGATGGCAAACTTTTTATTTTCCTTTCTTGTATCATAGTTTGGGGACCTTTCTGTTGAAAATGTGTCAGAGTTAAATCGTATACATATACATGCACAGTGTGTTAACTGGAGTGCAGGTATTAGTTACCCGCACTCCAGTGCATGCCCATTGATTGGCTCATTTTTGAGGGGTTTACTTATTGTGACGGCAGAGAAAAGGAAAGCGACTGAAATATCATATTCAGATGCTCGTTTATTAGTCCCTTGTTTCTGGAGTTTCATATTGTGACAACAGGGAACGTGTTTTTATGTTTTACTACGATACACAAGAGAAAGAACATCAAAACACTCGGCAATCTGTTTCATACTCGAGGGCTACGCCCCCTCGTACAAATCAGATAGGCTCGTGTTTCGAGGCTCTTTCTATTACTTTTACAACGCCATACATGAATTGATTTATCATTTACTCTAACAGTAATACCAAAGTGATTAGTTCCCTTTCGTCAATCATTATATTTCCAATTATATAAGTACACTGGTTGGGAATGTTTTTCATGAAAGGGGAAATCAGAATTATTTCTACAAAAATATTGTAATATATAAGTGTTCTCCCTTTGTTTAGATAAGGAAATTAAGAAAAGCTATTCTTGTAAGATTATGTTACCGTTTTTCAAAATTGTCTCCATTTAATATAACGTGAAAATAACAAATATCTGCGAGTCTGTGGAGCATTGTTACTATTGATTTTCTCCGAACACGGAGTGGTATTGATCCGTAGATGCATTTAGCTAATGATGCCGATATTTATAACCAAGCGGTTATTCCATTATACCATCAAGCTGAACGCCGCGTTGAGGCTAGAAATAGCACAAATGGAAATAAAAGTAGGACAAGCAGTGACAGCGCTAATAGGAGTCTTCCAAATGATTGCTGCATTGTACTGATAGGTCTAGTGCATGTAATAAAGTGTTACTATAAATAGCACGTTGCTGTCGATCTTGATGTTATACATTCACTGAAAATTATGCAATGTTTCAAAAGTAAGCACAAAAATGGGTTTGGGATAAGTTATGTTGGTGCTTTAGCAATGGCAGCTTACGTACATTGACTATATTTAAGACCTGTCCATTGATGACTTGTTAAGTTTCAATTCTTAATCAGATGCTTATTATAGGAAATACCAAATATTCAACACGCTTTCGCCATATGATGACTCCTGAACGGACTTTAGTGATTTGAATTACATATTGTATTAAGGATTCACTCCATTAGCACCTTTACATAGATTTTTTTCATCTGAAAAAGGACATGATGCTTTATACACGAATATGGAATAAGAGTATAGAATAACATCTTCACAAATGGATTGCGGCTGAGCGTTGAGGCATGATTGTACATGTGTAGCCTATGTTACTATACTTCTAAACCTCACAATGCATTTTAAGATATACGTAAACAAGGTTAAATCCCCACAGCCCATCGATTGTATTCCCCATTCAACATATTTTCACGTCACTTTGAAATTACGAGTATTCTACACGAAACAATTTTAAGATTTCGTCCATACTCCGCCCTTGTCCTCCTTTTTGTCTTTTTGCTCGGTGCCCTTCTGGGTGCTTTACCGATGACTGTGTGGATTTCATACATTTGTGCTGCGATTAGTGCATTTTGATGTCCTTTGTTGATGTCCTGTTTTCGGCGATTATACTGCTTACATCTTATTTGTTTTTTTTTTCTTTTCTTTAATTGACACGTACGAAGATAATTCAAAGGAAATTTAAGTTTAAATAGAAAACAAACGAAATATTTATATAGCTTAACATAAGGTGTTTTCACTATCAACTTTCAACATGGCATTTCATCAACAGTGATGTATTTTGTAAAACTGATAAATTATTATAATTGCTGAGAGAGAAAATATGTTGTAACAGTTTTAAACAGAGATGCTAAGAACATGATAGATGTTCCATCTAAGAATGTCATTGATTGAATCAAACCGAGTCTGCAGATTTTATATTTTGAAATTTGTTTTCTTTGATTAACATTTTTATTATTTTGAATGAAGCAAACAATGTAATAAGTAAATGTACGATATATCAGCATCGGGCGTATTATGAATTTTTGTATTTACTGACTTGCAACAAGGTCAACTGTGTCGTTTTATGCGTTCTTCAAGGGTTCCGTTTTTCCTCTATTTTATTTGACAATAAGAACGATTGCTAAAATAGTTTTCTGCATGTATATCTGTAGTCAGAATGGCATTTTACCAGACAAAAGTCAACGATCTTGCCATATTGATCATTGATTTGTTTAATATTTAACTAGCGCTTTGAACGGTGATGGCGTGGCGTTTAAGTTAAAAACAACAGGTGTCAAGTGCCGTGTGGCAGCCATAAAAAGTTGCCCCGTACTTCACTTCAATGTTGTTATATTTTCTGGTCCTTCGGGGTCATTGATGCCAGCACTTTTGAGTGTTGAAAATTGAGTACCGCTCAAGCCGGTGCTAGGGGACGTGAGGGGTGTTGCACTTATTCATTATTCCTCATGTACAGACTCAATCAAACCGAGTCTGCAATTCTTATGTAATTTTGTTGTGATCAATGCTTCCGAGGGATCACTTTGTTTCCAGAATCCCATGTATGTACCCGAAATGAAACCGAGTTTTGGGTCTCAACTTCTTTTGTTTTTGTTTCCTTGGCTCTTAAGTGATCTTCTCTTTCTAGAATTATAAACTTCTTCTCATTAATGACGGAATGTCAGAAGAAAAGGCTGATAGACCACTAAAAACCTTTATATTTCAATGAAATCATTGTAACAATTTGCGATACTTGAAAAATATCTACAATGAGGCAGACATTAACCACTTAGTTTCTGAGAGAACGATTTGCATAAAGTTCTCCCTGAAAAATAAATGCAAGTGTTTCGGCTATGCCATAATTTATTTCCCGATATCTGGAACTATTCAGTGACTGAAAATACGTGAATGTTGTATTCTCCGAGGACAAAAGAGAGTTTTTAAATATATAAAGTGAATAACAACTAACATTTATTGATCGACAACTGGCGGAAAACTTACAACTTGACTGTGTCAGCATAAAGGAAGGAAAAACATATAGTACACTTTGAAGTAACCATATATACCAGTCTGTCAAAAAGCTGAAAACTATGGTCCCCTCCAATACCCCTTCCCCTAAAAGGAGAAAACTATGGTCCCCTTCCCCGAAAGAGAGAAAACTATGGTCCCCTTCCCCTAAAAGGAGGAAACTATGGTCCCCTTCCCCACAACTTGCTCAGACTTATTAGTAATAACTGTATGAAGCATATTTATTCATTTAATAAGCACACTTATACAGTTTAACATGCGAACCTTTTATAGCTCCATAGACATAGTTCAAGGTTATGGTCTATACGCAGTTTTTGGCCTCGAGGTTATAAAACTTTTTCTGAGTTCTGTCTCAAATCTCAGGATTTTCATTAGTCAGTGTACATTTTGTAACAGGTTCTGGCCATTCAAATACCTGTGGTCTGAGTTTAAGCGTAAAGAATATATAATCTTGGACTCTGTATGACAAAGCAAACCAGAGCAGTTCTATTTTCTCCTATCATCTTGGAATTACTTTCCGCTCCATTGTTTACATAACTTCAATGGGACAAATGAAAATACGTTAATTTTAAAATCTCTGAACAGTTCTTTCATCAGTTCGTCTTTTAAAAGTTTTTTCGAAATCAATTTTAGGAGAAACAAACTATACTTAAACTTCTTTTAACACTAATTTCATTCTGGGTAATGCAATTAAATTGAAACTAATTATTCACGAAAAGGAAAATTGATATTAAGATTTAGTTTTCCAAAAGTGCCTTTTACCAAAATACGACTTTCTCAATATAAAGGGGTAACTAATTTACAGTTTTATTCAGGCATAGACTAATTGTCTCACGAAAGCATGCTAGGAAAATATCAAAATTAAGCAAAGAGCTTTTGACATTAATGAAGTATAAATTATTTTTTGTTAAAGACGGTCTCGTGCAATTTATTTTAACTTTGTATACTTGTAACTTGTTTTTGGAACCATTTAATATACTAGTAAATCCTCACGTCTGATTGGAAAACGGTGATGCCTATATACATGTAATTTGTTTCGTGGAATTGATGCAAATTAGAATTCTGAGAACAAGATTTAAAATAGCTTATGTTCGTTACATTCTGCATTAAATTGCATAAATTTATGTTTTATCCTTGAATGTAATGCTTTCTTTTAACTCTTTACACTTGTCTTTTGATTTATTCTCCCCTGTTGTTTTATTCTTTTGATAAATTACAAGAGCAGGAAATATCTAAAAGAAAACTACGAAAGACCGGTAGCGCCATTTCAACTTCATGATCTACATGAATTTACAAACAAATTCCTGTATATTTCAACTTACGGAATACACGAATTCAGCTTCATGAATTCACGATTTCAGCTTCATGAAGTTGAAATCGTGAATTTGTGAAGTTGAAATCGTGAATTCATGAAGTTTAATACGTGAATTCATGAAGTTGACATCATGAATTCATGAAGTTGAAATCGTGAATTCGTGAAGTTGAAATCGTGATTCATGAAGTTGAATTCGTGAAGTTAAAAATCGTAAATTTATGAAGTTGAAATCGTGAGTTCATGGAGTTGAAATCGTGATTCGTTAAGTTGAAATCGGGAATTCATGAAGTTGAAACCGGTCTTTCGTAGAAAACAATGCTAGTTTAACATTTAAAAATCTCTTGAATTTTTTTGTTTTTAAATAAGTACACAATTTTTAATCTAA